AATCAAACTTTTATCGATTTCACTTATTGCTGACATGGTTTACTTCTACCCTGTCCCCATATAACTGTACTGGCCAGACAAGAATTTATCGAAAGCTACGTATGCTCGCCCCCTCGTCTTCTGAAAACGATTTTGATTATGGCGATAATTATGATGATGACGTCATCAGCACTGCAACTCCTAAAAATAGCTACCACATTTTTCGGACACCTCCCTGACTCAAAGTGGACTCCCTGACCCAAAGGAATTTAAAGCGAGTTCGTGAGTATCTAGCGCGTTCGACTTTCGTGTCTGACTGGAGTGTCCCCCAGGGACTGGTGTAATGAAGAGGCAAAGAGCCAAAAAGGGTTGATTTCTGCCGCAGAAGCCACTTGAGGGCCCGAAAGTGTGTCTTCACTCAGTGTTTACTTCACATCCTGCCCCAGCAACAGGGCAGCGGGATAGAGGGTGATTAATTGTATCACTGGGTTCCCAGGACGGCCGCCAGTAAGGGTTGACGGCAATGATTTGGGTCTGACCCCTCCAGGGCGCCGACAATCAGTCCGAGTTCTTGTGAGAAAAGAAACTGAGGAGAGTACACGAATAGACGAAATATCCCGTGTTTAACTGCACCAAAATTCTCTTACGGAAGCACCGTGGCGTACTTTAAATAAAAATTGTTTAGCGTTTTTATGTTCCATCTACCTGCCGGATATTTGAGGACATTTTCCCAACTGGAAAAATCAAACAATTTCTATCTATTGGGTTAAATATTGCGAACTGAAAACAAACTTTCAGGATATCGCCCATGAAAGGTTAGACCACTCGGCCAAATGGGGTTATGTAGCCCCACCTTAAGTAAACAAACCCCGCCCATCTGCAATACAGGGCCGGCGGTAATGGGGGTTTTTACAAATGGGGCTGGGGAATGCACAGGCGATAAGGTCAAATAGTTGTATGCAAAAGAAAAGCTAGTGGGAATGCGCGATTGTACTTTGAGTGGCTGGGAAATAGTTGCCCTAACCCTAACCCCACCAGAATTGTGTCCATCAGGTGAGGCTACATAACCACACCTTACCCCCACTTTAGTCTGTTAAAAGCACGCGCCAGCGACTGTGTTTCGGCAGTTAATGAATACTACGCGGCTTTCCCGCTGTGGCTGATGGACTTCGGCCCAAATATTCATGCATAAAATTCTCGGTCTGCGCCTACAGACCTTAGCATATAGTGATCTTAATAGCAGCGAGGAGGGACGACAGAGAATGCGGGTAGATTGATACAGTACTGTTTCGGGCTCACTTTGCCCTCATTCAGCCAGTCATAACCCTGACCACCAGCAGCTGGGACCAGAAACATAAACAAGCGCACAGACGCATCTGGCGCAGTTGGTCCACCAGTGGGGCCTACCAGATGGGTCATAAGCACTTCATCGAACCGAAGTTCATCAGTGCCTCGCCACCTGTCATTCTCTGTCGCTGCAGGACGGGGATTTATTCAATCAGGAATGAGCGCACACCGATCTATAGTGATCTGCTCCAAGTTTGCAGTTAATTTCTGAGGAAATTAAAAAGCAACCAGTGGTAGGGGGCGCTCACCGATCGTTCCTACGGAACTCACTCGTTCCGTTGTGCCTTACGGACTCTCTCTCGAGCCCAACCAGCAGCCGCACAGCGGCGCATGATATATTGGCAGAATGGTATTACCGACAAAGACAAGGGAGACTGGAATGGCCATTTCTGGCTTATTAGCCGTCGTCAGCCAGCCATACCCAAGCCCGAAGTGTGGAACACCCGAGCCTCGAACTCGCGACCTGTTGGTTTAGAAGTCCGCGCCGCTACTCACCGGGCCACGAGCCCGTTGCCCTGTCGGGCTTGGGTATGGCTGGCTGACGACGGCTAATAAGCCAGAAATGGCCATTCCAGTCTCCCTTGTCTTTGTCGGTAATACCATTCTAAAAAGCAACCGTTTGTAAACTCCGGTATCTACCAGAAAGCACACGGGACATGTTGGGGGATCCACTGATGAGCCCAACCCATCGCAGCTGTGCCATGCAGTGACAGAATATCGGCGAAACACGCGTGTATGGGTTTTTAGAGAGTACCTGTGCTGCTAGTATGGTATTTTGTAACCCTAAAAAAGATCTAGTTGGTTTTCAATATGTGCTACACCAGATTTACCTATGGTGTGATTCCTACCTTGATTTTTTGTTTATACCTCAGCATACCCCTTAAAATTATGTTGTGAGTGTTTTACACTGAAGTGGAGCACACTGAAGAAGTGGGGCGTCAGGATGTCAGGCCGGTGGTGTTCACGCGCGAGCAGGTACGTGGACGAAATGTGCCGGTATGGAGGCGCGGAAGAAAGGGTTCCGGGACTGTACGATCAGTAGGAAAGGAGATGAATTTTTCCATTATTGTGATATGACGGAAGACTGTGCTGTAATTTGAAGCTTTGCGAAATGTCAGGGCTATTTGACCCCCAGAACAACAGAATGCCGTTGGAAGCAGTGCCAAAGCTTGCTGGTAGATCCCCAAATACAGAGGTTGGCTGGTCCAGTTACCGTCAGGAAGTCTGCTCCAGAATAGTATTTGTCGCCAGGAGAGGGGAGCTGCATGGAACACCGGGAAACCCAATAAAAATCGACGAGGCCGAATTTGCAGGCGCCGTAAGTACTAATTGTGGCCGTCTTTTAGGTGAAGAGGCACCTGCCGAAGAAAACGGTGGCGATCCAGTACGGAATTATCGGAACCACGTCTCCCGAATTGATGGCCCATGGAGATTTGGATTGTGTCAGGGTACCGATGTGAGATTATTCTACATACGACAGTTCGACCGTCGTTTCCGACGGTGTACACGTGCGCTCCACCACAAGGTGGGGCGGGCACGGTGATTTGCGCATGAATTAGCTTGTGGTGAATGTGGACTTTCGCTGCATCTACCGCACTCTCTCCTCCTCCTCCTCCTCCCCAGGTGGACCCGGTGTCAAGACATAGTCAAGAAGACCCTAGGGGGGGGGGAGGGACGCATGTGGATGGGAAGGTCGAGCCCGCACCTTGGCGTTCCACTCCACACCTCCTGGTCCACACAGCAAATGACCAGGATTTTTCACCAACAACAACAACAACAACAACACCCCAACACGAGCCGGAAGCACGAGGATGACTGGGCAGTCATGCCCACCACCTGTATACCCAGAGGGAGCACAGGCGCATCTACCGACAGGAATCCAGGTGCCCGGGAACTGCCAGCGCACACCAGGCTACGAGGGCCATGGTTTGCTGACACTGGCATAGCACACGCTTTCAGACCTTTTGACTTCTTCTAGATACACGAAGGAGATGAATCGACATCGATCCGTATCAGTTAACGCGAAGAGGAAGCAGATTCAGCAATATATTCTGACCAGTGACCAGATTATCGGAAACTCAGTCAGGTTGGGTACGATCACAAAACCGCCAATCATCAGGAATAGAGGCGCGCACACTCAGCACATCCAGAGGACTTGGTTAGACGGCAAGATGAAGATTTTGAAAAAAAGCATTCGCGGAGTTCCACAGCACTTACTTCAGGGGTACTTGGATAAATGCTGCTGGCGCGTTTTGAAGGGAGATAAAGACCACTTTTTAGAAATCCTATGCGAGATTAAAGAAGCGTGAGTCGCGAGCTGCTCGAGTCATGGTTCTCAGGCCCGCAATCCATCAACAAGAGCAATGACCTCCCTGTACCATATTCCGTGCTGAGATTTTCCCTGGGTAGGGGCCTCAGCGACGTGGGGAGGGCGCGGGCGAGCAATTATCACAGTGACAGTGAGCCAGTTTTCCGAGCAATCGTCACACTGACATCCAGCACGGGTGACGAAATCACGGCCATTAAGGACTCGAACTCGGACGGACAAGCCACCACCGCATCAGTTACGATCCCAGCAGTGATTAAGAGAGCTGTTAACTACAGCGCGCATATGGTCCCACGGCAGCCACGTGCTATAAATACTGCACGCCTTGTGCCACCATCACCTTTATCAGCGAATGTCTCTGATGATGGATTGGAGCGAGAATCCGAAACGTCATGCCAATAAATTTCTTGTTCCAGTGATCGCATCTTCGTCTTCTGAACAGCGCTTACTGGCGTCCAGCAAGCGGTATGACCTCGCAGTCAAATCTGATTGCTGTTCGACCTTGAGAAGATTACCAGAGTCCATATGCAGGTCAGTTTTACTTCCCAGATTCTTCAGCAGAAAGTCAGTCAACATGATCAGGTCATTCTACTCGGCAATTACCGACTTACTCATAAACAAGCCCTTCTGGAGAATTCAACTAGATGAAGGGACAAAGTGTGGAACGTGGAATGGGACGTGGGAGAGGCGAAAAGCGCTCGTAAATGATCAGCACCGCCCCTAAACTCTGGCGTTCGTGGCCCTGAAAGGGGTTACACTGCAAATGCGCCGGATCAAAACAAGGTTGGGACTGGCTCGCGGCGCGCGTTTATCCGGAAGTGCGGAGTCCGCACGCCTAGAACGTCTGCCGTACTAGCATGTGGTACGCCCCAGACTCCGTGTCAGCCACTGCGTCCAATCCCATCATCCGTTTGTGGATAGGCCCGGACGGTTGACTGGTGAAAGGGAGAGGGAAGGGAGAAAAAGCGAGAGAGAGAGAGAGTGAGGCCAACACCCATGGCCCATCCACGCATTGCTCAGTAAAATAAATATGGCACACTCGAAGCTACCATGAAGCGTACTTAATGGTAGCTTGGAGGGCTGTCAACTGAAGCGACACTACTACTACCACTACTACTACTACTACTACTACTACTACTACTACTACTACTACTACTACTACTACTACTACTACTACTACTACTACTACTACTACTACTACTACTACTACTACTACTACTACTACTACTACTACTACTACTACTACTACTACTACTACTTATTTGGTGTTTCAGTAGCGAAGTAAGAATAAGGTGGTTTAACCCCGCGTGCTCGTGCACGTGGATAATAATTCTTCGTATTGCCCAGGGAACATGGAGGAATACGGTTGGTGGACTAACTCATGAAATGTCAACCGAAATTCCGAAATAAGTTTTCGTTTCGAAAAGAATAATTAAGTAGGTCTGTAAAACTAATCAGTCTGCAGTATAATTCTATAGTAATCCAGTTACCTTAGGATACTGGCTTTCGAATGAACTTCCTTTCGCCTATACAGAGAAATACACTCTGTAAAAAAACGACTACTTAAGTATCATACAATTTTATCCTCGATTTTCGATGCCCTTAAAAGTCCAATTATATTTCACGGAAAACCTGAACAGAGATATTCATTCTTCTACTCATTCGGTAGAAAATTACGTTTTCTTTCAATGTGGTACTCGAAGGAGGGACATAATGTGGTTTTTAAAAAGTTTCCAGTTGTGAGGCTTTTTAATACCCTGAAATGGCCGTTGATAAATCGTCATGTCTCTGTATTTACCAATATGGCTTGTAAAGTTAACAATATGCATTAAATCCACTGCTAAATTTTATGAACACTATATGGTCCCTCTTTATTACCGTAGAGAAATGTGTGCTTTTCCAAACGCGGAAAATACATGGCTTGTAGTTTGGAAATCCTGAATCCAAGTATAACGGCAGAGCGGGTTCAAAATGATTCGGGGATTGGAAAAGTTTTGAAAAACCGAATAATGCCCTTCCTTCGAGTATAAAATTGAAAGAAGGCGTAATTTTCTACCGAATGAGCGGAAGATTAAATATTTTTATGCATGTTTTCCATGGTGTATAATTAAATTTTTAAGGGCATAGGAAATCAATGAGGAAAATGCATGCCACGTATGCAGTCATTTTTTACAGGGTGTAGTTTTTGCATGCAGCCGGAAGGAAGTTCATTCGAAAGCCGGCATCCTGAGGTAACTGGATTATTATAGAATTATACTGTAGATTGATTAGTTTTACAAGCCTACTTAATTAATCTTATCGAAACGAAAACGCATTTCGGAATTTCGGTTGACATTTCATGAGTTAGTCCATCTACTGTATTATTCATGAGGATGATGATGATGATGATGATGGTGGTGGTGGTGGTGGTGGT